CCTTCTCCTCTCCTCTTCCACCTGCCATACCTTGCGCCTCGTGTCTCTCATCCCGTTTCCTTTGGAGCACTCTGATGATGCTGTGCAAAACAGAAGCCTTGCTACCTATGTACAAATAAGCCCCTTCTTCAGCACATGCCTTTACTCGTCTACGTTGTTTTGTTCTCTTCGGGGCCTTCCTTTCTTATCTCGTCCCCTTGTACGAGCTCCCCTGCGTCGTATGTAATTACCCTACCGGACCATCAAGGGAAAGGCTCTTTTGAACATTGTCTATTTTGACTTTGGCTTCTGACGCAGATATGAAGATAGAAGATTGTCCGGAACGTGTTTCCAGACCCAAGGGAGAGAGAACAGAAACGACAGCCCGAAGTTTGGCACCGGAATGGCCACATGGGAAAGTTTGCTCCCGTCTGTCTCCCTGGGCTCGGGCTGCGGGCTGGCTTGGTTAGTTTGCGTCTTAGATACAGGCCTGCCCGCACGCACGAGTATCGTCTTCATGAATGCTGGCCCTTCCGCTCCAGGGGTCCAAATGCCATCCCACAAACTCGCCTATCCCATCTTCGGTCTCGTGCATTTCAGTTCAGCCCACCGCCGCTCCCCTCCCCTCCGGCCCACCGACGCCGAAGCCGATGCGGATACAGACGGCCAGGTCGGGTTCTCAGCACACGCATCACTGTCCACAGTACGAATACCTGCAAACCGGACAATCAAGCGTTACGTACTCGCAACAGGGACCAATACCCTGGCATGATGATGCACCGCACGTCGGCCCCAAGCACTAAGATGCGTGCTAGGAGCTAGAGGTGGTACTGTCACTGGGGCTTCCCGCGCCAGCCCATGCCATAGTGGTAAGACACCATCACCTGGTCTCCCCATCCCAAGCCGCTCTCCTGCAACTTGGGCACGCTGCTTGTTGCTCACACCATCACGACGTTTCTGTGGCTTTGCTTTTATCCTATCGTCCCGCAGAGCAGCGTCTTCGTACGTGCTACTGACTGTTCACCGTTGCATTCGCGGCACTCCGGCACCTGTGCCTGTCGTGTTTGACCCCGCCGACCTCGATATCCTTTTGTTTTTCCCTCCGCGCTGAGCAGTCGAGCCGTTGGGGCACCGCTGCCGGCAACCAACATGTCACCGCTCTCATGCTTCTGGGGCTGCGAATCGGAGGGTGAAGGCCACAAAGATCGTCGATGGTCCATTCTGGGATGGGTCCCTTCGAGAATGCAAACGACTGGCATTTGACCCCTTGGGATTGCGTTGATCTACATCGAGCGTCCCTAGTCCGGGGTGTCTCAGGTAGAAGGCGAGTGCCAAAAAGATTGGACGCGCCTCCTAGCTGACTCTGCCCGGGACGGATGGAGTTCGGTGCCGGCAGTTTTAACGCTCCAGCAGATCTACTATGTAGACATGAATACCGCCTCACACTTACTGGGTAATCATGGATCAACAAGTGCAACCGTTTCTGCTAGCCTCTCGCTGCTCGGAAACATTGGAAACGTTCAAGGACGCGCATGTCATTGCCGCAATTTCCCTCTGTCTCGAGGTGCAACATACGTCAAATGGGTTTGCATAGCCGCAATCGATTGACGACCGCCTACTATCACAGGCGACAGCTTACTAGGGTGCTTGGTAGGATTCATTGTATCGCCCGTGGCCGCCGTGTTTGCCAACACCTTCCAAGCCGTCTGTCTGATCAATGTTCGCCTAGACAGAGAATTGTGGCCGCGAGTTTTGATGCGGATGGCATCCAAGAACAAGACCTGGCACAGCAACAGCAGTTCAGCAACCCTTTCGCGGCACCTGTTATGTAACGTGCCCCGGTCTGCATCTGCATCTCAGTCCTGTATATGCTCACCGGTACACGCACAAGACTCGGAGGTGAGTTGAGAGGTGTGTCATCTCTTTCTTACACACACACACACACACACACACACACATCCAAACAGCGTCATCAGCTTGGTCAGATGGATGTGCACAGTCGTCCCAAGTGCCGCAAAGAAGTCTAGGAAAAGAAAGAGGAAACGTAGCCAGCCGTCTGCGAGTACCTTATTCCCCAGCGTCTGGGGTGTCGTGGAACGAGTAAGCGGGAGGTCTGGAGACCGAGGACAGCGGCGATACGAAAGGCGAGTGTGCTCCGTCTGCCACTGCGGAAGCTAGACCACAAAATACTTATCAAATTGACACAAATGGGGATGGAAACCAGACAAGGGAGTTGGTAAGTGTCGAGGACGGTCTCAACTGTTCCATTTTTGGCCACGTTCAGTCGCGTCCAACGGCAGAGCACGCCAGATTTTGGCACCACCATCTCACGACGACGTCCATCCGGCGTGCACATCCACCGCCTCCGCCTCCGTCTCTTCTCACATCCACCTCCCGCCGACGTCGTCCACCGGGTTCGAACTGGGAAAAGTGCTATCGATGAAGCAGGCTGGGCAGGCTCAACCCCGAAATCTCCAAAACGCCCGCGCCAAGCGTTCTGCCCGCATGATGCTTGCCAATCCCGTCATCCCTAGCATCTTTACCCAATCGGCCGCAGGGTGGAGTGGGCAGTGTGGACATTGAACCACCTTCTCCCCCCCCCCCCCCCCCCCCAAAAAAAAAAAAAAATAAAAAAAAAAAATAAAAAAAATCGCCCTGCTTGATCTCTTTTCATCTCCCGTCCTGTACCTTGTCTCACTATTTACCCTTCGGCCTCCTCCCACTCGCTAATGTCACCGTCGCCCACCTGCCGTGCTCCCGGCGTCCATCACCTTCTTCCAGACTTTCCATCATCTTCATCTCGAGTATCCCTGCCATGATACCCTACTCTCCCAGATCGCTGGCTTTTCCGAAAGCCCCCTTGTCATTGAACCAGGAGCCTGCCTTTGAAAGGTTAGTCTACCTCATCCACGGGCTGGGGTAAACGGCGCCGAATCGAGATCCGTCCTTCGAAATGATCTTTCATCCACGCTGCCACGGCACACAAGGCACCATGAACGTGTTACTCACGCCCCGCGGGCCTGCGCCTCGCGAAACATTCGGGCTAGCCAATGGAGCCGCCATCTCTCTAGGCCACCGATCTTCTCAGTCGTCCCTTGTGTTGCCAACCGCACAGATTGCATTGATGACTGATCGAGGTTAGGTCCCATGCATGATCGACTACATTCCTGCTCAAGATCGACGCCTGGTGTAAACTGTTCGTCCCAAGCACAAAGTGGCTGTCTTTCTTCCTTCCCAAAAAGCCACGGCCGGGTCTCGGGTCACAGCTCCCCATCAAATGCTCGGAAGTGGGCCGGCGGCGGCACTCTCAGTCTCTGTCTCTCACACATCGAGACTTCCCACGCCTGTCATCTCAAACATGCCAGGAGCTCAGACTCTGAAAGATTCTGTCTGGAATTTAGCCGCCTCTTTGCGGCAACCCCAGACAACCTTAACGACTCATGTTACTGCATGTCTTTGCTGCATGTCTGCCTACGGACAGGCATCGTGCTGGTGGTTGGGAAATCTTCTCTGCCCCAGAGCCATCCTTGGCTTCTAACCCTGTGCCTCAATCCGGGCTCGGGTAAGTTCAAGGTCGTGCCGTGGCCACGGATCGCCGAGTCAACTGGACATTTTTGTTTGCAGGACCCTGCTCTCAAGGCTCTTTCCAAGGTCCTCCTCTATCCTTGGATGCCCATGTTGTCTGGCATTGAAGACGCCATTCAGACGGTATTCTCAACTAGAACTGAACTAGACCCAGATGTCTTGGTTCCACTTCGTTGCGATCTTCATGTTAGTCTAGCAGCTCTCCCCGCGTTCTCGATTTGCAGTTGCGGTGAGCCAGGTGATCGACAGCTGCCGTGGTTTAGAGAGGCCATCCAACTGGTGCAGACATAAGCAAGTGACCTGCGGGGTCCGACTCCCATCACTCAGTTCTGGCTACGGCAATTGAGTTTGTAGCCGTGATTAGTGCACTCTCCAAGGTTAGAGTACCATTCGAAGTCAGGATGGCTATCTTGGCATGGCAATAAGCCACGGGACGATCCCTTCAACTTGTATGCTACTCGCAACTTGACCTGGCGCAAATTCATCTAAGCCTCCATGCCTACAGTCAGTCTGATAAGATGCTGGCGTCGGCAGAGAAATGGCCTGCATTAACATCGTCGGCGATGCAGAACTGAAGCAGAGTATATTGTTAAGTTTTGTGCCCTTCGTCACAAGGCCAGGGGCAGCGTGCCATTGCCCTATCAATATCTGGGGGAGTCCGGATAGGGTGTGCCTCGACTGACGGCGCTGTTTGTCACTAGCCGCCGGTCTGAAGTCGGGACCGACGTCTCAGACGAAGGGCTGCCTCTTCTAGCCACAGCCCTCTGCGAACCACGCGAGGAAGTTGTGTCGTTTTACCTCTGAGACACGCTGCAAGTCTCGCAACGTTCATGTTCGACGTGGAAAATCACTTCGTTGGCGCCCCTTTGGGCGTTGAGTCCAATCAGAGCTCAGATAAGCCATGTGACGCCGGTTTCTCCGTGGTCCAACGTAGAACTTCGCGCTGGAATTGAGGGGTAAGGTTGTTGTTGAATGGCCATGTTTTGGTGGACCGAAACCGAGTGGCTCACTGCGACTCTTGTGTCGCGAACTTCCCATTCCAGCCCCCCGGCCCCAGTTTGCAACGTGTGGACTTGTCTGTTTCTGCAATGCGTGTCGCGAGAAGGAGGAACCAAAGACAACAAGTTACAAAAACGCGAGCGTCATGAGCCACCATTCCAGGTCGGAATTGTTCAACAACTATGGCGACGAGACAGACCGACACAAGAACTGCAAGTTGTAAGCAGGCAGAGATGGGACGGTTGTGTGGTGGGGCATCAGTTCACAACACTCTACCAAGTCCAAAAATTCGCATGGAGCACGGACAAATACTGCTGCTTTTGCACCGTTACCTAAGCCAAAAGACGCGTCTCGGGAGGAAAGACAAAAACAATACCCCAAGATTCGCAGACGCTTTGTTTCCAACGCTCTGAGTCGCTCGCCGCGAGCCGTCATCCATGTCATCGACAACGGCCGAAACGCCAATCGCCGGAGCTGCCGCTGCCGCTGCCGCCGAGGACGGAGGGGCCGGCGGCAGCCCGGCATCGCCGTCACAGTCGCAGCCGCAGTCGCCGGCCTCCGTCCGAGCCGTTCCGTCCGGCGTGACGGTGGTCTTCGCGGAGCGCAAAAGGACGGGGCGCATCGCCGGCGCCAAGTACAAAGCAGACGGCACCCCTTACAAACGCCCCGGCCCACCGCCCAAACCCATAGAGGAGCGCGCGCGCTATCAGGCCCGCGGGCCGCTGAAGTGCATGGAGAGGTCGTACACGGACCAGAAGCGCAGGGAGGTCGTCATGTTCCTGCAGAACCACAAGATCCGCGTGACGGATGAGAACGACATACGCGCGCGCAAGGGCTGGAACGGCGGCCGCGAGGACCAGCAGCCACCCGAGGAGCCCGGGTACCGGTGGCCGACCCTGAAGGAGACGTCCGACTGGTTCAAGGTCCCCGAGCGGACCGTCCACAGCTGGTGGAAGCGGCGGCAGAAGATCCTCGGGAACGCGCCGAAGAAGTTGACCAAGGCCGAGAAGAGACGGATGGCCGAGGAGGAAGAGAGGAGGCGGAAGGAGGCGGAGGAGCGGAGGGAGCAGTTGAGTGCGATTGGCTGGCCGACGGAGGCCTTGCCGGAGGTGATCCCCGGGTATGAGGGAGCCTGGCAGAGGGCGTCGGAGGATGTGCGGATGCAGATTCAGGGTCTACCGCAACCCGAGGTCGGCGAGATGAGTTCACGGGCAAGCGCGTGGAGCGTTGCAGCCGCAACGTTTTCTCAGGGTTTACCACCCGTCTCTCCAGCTCCGCGCGCTGTGCTGCCGGTTTCTCGGTCTCCCGCTCCGCGTGCGCCGCCACCAGTCTCCCAATCACCGGCTCCTCGTGTACTGCTGCCAGCTTCCCAACCTCCCGCTCCGCGAATGCTGCTGCCGGCTTCTCAATCTCCCGCGCCCCGTGTGCTTCTACCAGCACCTCCGGGGACTGGAAACATCTCGGCGGTAACAAGAACGCCAACCCCTACCACAGACGCCTCCGTGCCGTCTTCTACGACAGCAACGCCTGCAGCCATCAGAGAGACCACAGAGGAAAGAGAACAACTCAACATACCGGCGAGAGAGGCTATGGCTGCTTCTGCGGGTAGTACACCAGCTGCTTGAAGGCATTTAAGCCAAGAGGCTGAAAAGGAGAGTCGTTTGGCTCGCAGTTGAACGTTTACTGGCTGGTTAGGAAGCATGGAGTTAACTGTCGGAGGGGGAAAAGTGATTACCAGGAAGAAATCGGAAATCAGAAGCAATATTCTAATACATAATACAACACAAAAACCGGATGGGCTCGAGGCTCTCCCAAGATTCAAAGCCACGGAAGTTTTATCGAAATATCTCTCCCTGTGATGTACATGCCAAACTTGCGTGTGATATTCGATGAATGTGAAGGTATCCAGTCAGTAACTTCTACTTGGGCCTTTCGTTTATTATTTCACAATGTGTGCAGATCAAGTGTTTACAGAGGAAGTAGTACTACACGCCGAACACGACGCAGAATAGTCCAGCTGCGAGTAGACGAAGAAGCCAAAGTTCAAAATACAGGTAGCCTGTGAATCACGTCCGCCAACGACGCATAAACGGGCCGCGAATTCGGACTCGGGAGCAAAGCCCTGGCACTCGAACTTAGCGGATGGTTCTATTAGTTGCAATTGACATAAGTAATCACATACACTACTATACATGACGGGATGTACGGCTTTGTTCCCGTAATTATGCGTACTTGCTGGACCTGCCGCGATACAGCATCGGAAGACAGTTATCCCAACGCCTCATGTCGAGCGCCTGCCCCCAACTCCTTTCTCTGTGGTACTACGAGAACAAACTGATTCAGTAAGACTACGCCGTCATTTTGAGGCACCCCTTACAGTTGTGGCTCCGGCAGAAGTTGCCGTTCAGACGCCTGTCACAACCACTTTTCCTCATGCCGTTATCGATAGAAGTCGCCGGTAGAGGGTACAGTTTGATAGCATTCCGCCTTATTTAGCCCAGTTAGGTGCTCCCGGTCTCTTCACGGCGGATGACGAGATAATTGTCATCAAACCGCCATCATCACCTCAGTCTGACGTTTATTGGCGATCGCCTTGTTGGACGTAGCTCACTGTGAGACACGGGGACTCTTCCGTTTGGCCGCCCCCGTTCACTGGTGTGACTTGATGCTCTCCAACGGTTGGGCTATCCTGCAAGACATCTGGTCCATCAATGCCGCTGTGCCTAATACATTGGCAAATCACTTGGGCGACATCATGGCATTGGGCGCCTGCGGGTTGGGCTCGCGTCCGTCTTCTATGTGGCGCCAAGGTGTCAATAGATCACAGTGACTGAAAAGTCTGGGGACTGGCAAGCATTGCTTTGTTGGCTGAAAGCTCCCGTATGTCGACTACGTGCCAAACATGCACATGTGCGGTTTCGGTTTCATCGCCCAGCTGGCCTTGATTTTGGGAATAGATCTCATTTTATTAGGTGGTCGTCTGGGGTAAGAACCTCTCGTAATCGACCGACTGACTCATTATGATCTCGACAGACTTGATACTGCCGCATTGCGGTGCGCTCATCGCCCAAAGAGTTGGGCATGGGCAGCGAAGAGTTAACTACGCGTGGCTTCTTCAGATAGCCTCATGCCGTAGACGCCCACTCAGCCTTCTTCACGTCCAGCCACTCCCCCTTTTCAACCCAAACATTCTCAAGCCACTTGGCCAGTTTCTCATCATCTGTCGGCAGAGTCTCAAGCGGAAACCTTCGCACATGAACGTGAAATTTGTATCCAAGCCTCGAGCTGAGTCCGGGGACGCTCAAGGTGTCCCACATAGTCGGTGCAGCGTGAAACTCGCCTCCCCTCTGGTACGCAATTGTGATATCGTACACTGCCTTGACATGAGAGGCCTTTCTGAGATGCTGCACGGTGGTGATGAAGCCTTTGGTTCTTGGGTAGAGGAGATGCATCGGCTGCGGACGCCCCGACTCCTTGCACCAGACGATTGACTGCTCGTACTTCTTCTTTGTGAAGCGGGTGGCCTCGCTGAAGCTGATGAGCCCTGCACTAGGTCAATTGCCATCTTCACAGTCTCGGGATGGGCCCTCGCCAGCAGCTACTCACAAGTCGGCCACTGCCTATTAACGATGCCCGAGAAGGCTCTATCAAGTTCATGCCTGTCCTTGGCCCAGTTGCGGCTCACCATGGGCATGCCCATCGCCCACAACCCCCAGCCCAGGAACGGGACGATCCGCAACTGAATCTTGGCAAAGTAGCGACACCGACCGAGCATCCCGGCCTTGATGGCCAAGGCCTGGATCATGTAAAAGTCTGCCCATCCGACGTGGTTGGCGACCACGACGGCCGACTCTCCGCGTGGAATAGCATCACCGGAGAAGGTGATGTTTGCGCCGTTGAAACGCTCAAAAATGATCTGGATCCAGTACCACACGGTCTCGGCGATCCTCGAAGACGAGTTGTAGACGAAGTCTGGAAAGAACCATTTAAACGGCAGCTGGAGGGAAATGGCGGTGTCGGCCAGCAGCAGCCAGAGCACCCACGGCGCCAAGATTGCGGCTCCCCGGAAGTGAGTGATCATATTACCGTTGCCGGCCATGACGATGACAGACGTGTGGATAACCAACCCGTCGTCAAGGCTCAAGTCGAAAGCGACAGCGAAAGCGAAGCGAAACAATCCAATTCGCTACGGTAGGGGCACGTTCTGGTACCTTCAACTCTGAATATCTGTTCGCAAGTCGCAACTTTTGGGCAGTAAAAGTCTCCGCCAAAAAAAAAAAAAGTAAGCAATAAAGTTGTTGACTATGTCCTGGTCGTACTATGCGACGGACAGTAGCGGGAGCAAAAGAGACGACGGTTCGAAGCGCGGCTGAGTGATCTACCTACCCACTGGCCTTTCCCCCCCAGGGGTACCTCGCCCTGGGATGGGAATGTTTCGAAAGGGAGCCGCGTGCGCGTGACTTTCCGCGCCAGTTCTTGGAGAGGGCGTTTTGGAACAAGCTTAGGGCAGTGGGTAGTGAGTGTGATCCGGGGTTCAACTCGTCTCAGAGATGTGCGCGCCTCTCCCGTCGCTCGGTCGTTGAGGCAAGCACAAGCTACCGCCGTATTCCCTGTCTGCTTTGATCGACAAGGAATCTTTTAAGCTCTCGTTCTAGGCGATCATGGGCTGAGGATATTCCATTCGAAAGACTGATTGCGACTGGGAGATGCACAGAAGACTCGGGGGAAAAGGAAACATAATACCGCAATGGCTCGTTCTCGACTAGCAGAATCGCCGGTCCCGCCGGGATTCCCAAGTGGGATACGGTATGACGGCATAGACTTTTTGGGCGAGAGAACCGTCGTCCGTCTTTGGAGCCGATGAACGGCACGTTGAACTTTGTTTCTTAATAATGGCGACGAGGATCAGTGGCCCCTCCAGAATCCCCCAATTGTGGAACCAGGGGTTTCCATCCCGCGGAGTGCTTGCTGATCACATGGGCCGAGTCGAGCATTCGTGCCTGGTATGGAAATTGGAAGATGCAGTCCAGCCAGAAGCCAGGGGTGAGACGTCAAAGTGCCAGCGGACCGTGATCCGACAGATGCACGACGTGTGCCGACATGGACTTGACAATGACAGGACAGCGACACACGGACTGGTGCTCATGTGTCAAAAGAGTTGGCGGCAGAAATGTCAAAATAGCAACACCCAGGAAGTCGGCCGAGTTCGCATTATTGAAGTAGGAGGTTGAGATAAGGGACTCTTGGCTTTTCTCAAGCTCGTCCGATGTTGATGCAGCAGCCATTGGGTTTTGGCCATGGTCACTTGAGCCGTACCGAGGCTTAATATCCGTACGAATACTGCGGAAGGAACTTGGGCAAGGTATCCGTACATAGGTACGTGCTGATGCTGCATGGGGTATGGCATGCCGTGGCCCGGGTTCTGGTGGTCGCTTAAGAGATATTCCTGCGAGATTTCGAGATTCGTATACCCGCGTCGGTCGGGTCTCTGATCTTGGCTCTCTCTCTCTCTCTCTCGACTACGCGCATGGCCGCAGGCAAGATTGGGCTGGGATTCAGCTCGTCAAGCAGGCCGTCGCAGGCTGCCGGGATCTCATGCTGTTGGGGAGGTGATTTGAGAGGTTGAGCCAGTCATGGGGTTCTTGTTACGGGCGTATGAAGGCGTTGGATATTGGTCCCAAGGCATCACCGAGTCTCAGGGCTGTCGTGGCCATCTTACCTAGGCAGACCTATGTCTTGACCTGCCTGGCTGGCCTTCTCGAGTCGACCTCGACCTGACCTGACCTGAACAGAGCCGACAACCTCGGAGCTCACCCCGACGCGACGAGACGGTCGGGTGTTTGCTGTTTCCTGGCAGCGGGCGTTGCGTTGTTTCCAACAGCTCTGCAGGGTCCGGAGCTGTGGGCGACCACCCTGAGTCAAGCAAGTCACCCTAAGTAGGTGCTCCGTACTAAGGTAAGGTAGGTATGGAAGCCCTTTGAAAGGCTTGTGGGGACCAGCCGCTGCTCCCGAAGAAACAGAGCGGCCACCAGGATCGAATCCAGGATGCTTCCCGCGTACCTATGGACGGACACACGCAGCACACCTAGGTAGGTACGGAATAAGGCACCTACCTACTTCAGTGCCCTGCCCTGACCCGACCTCACCCTGTGCCTGTACCTGCGAATGGGAACCCCTCCATTGCTCGCCCCGCCTGAACTAAATGGAAGCTGGCCCGGCGCGCGTTTTGTCAAAGGGCAGAAGCTACCTAGGTAGGTAGCTTCATGTTGCTGCTAGTCAAGCTTCTTCTTCTTCTCCTGGCCGCGATTCGATAAAGTATCGTAGTTGAGATGTCTGCTTCGATCGGGCCTCCCCCTCTACTAAGGCACCTTGGATACCTAGACATGGAAAGGAAGCTCGGAAATCTTGAGACTTTTTTGACTTTGTCCGAATCTCATGCGGATTCAAGCTCGATGCTGCAGCTGCTCCCTACTCTAGGTACTGCATTACGAATACATTCCCATACCCCCCTCCCCTCTTGACTCCCTCCTCACAAAGTAAGGTAAGGTACCTGAGGTAGCTGTAGATGAGCTCTCTAAATAATAGAGCAAGAATTCCCGCTGCGGCTTTTTACCGCCTTTTCTGACCAACACAATAAATTTCCTCTCCCTCTCTGCTCTCTGCTCTCACTCACCTACCATCCCATTCGGGCCTGCATGCTGAACGTGGTGGACCGGTACGGATACACCGCACCTGGCCCTGAGTTGACCGCTGGGCGGACGCAGCAGTTGGAGTCCAAGTCAGGGTCGAGACCAACGCCTCATCCACGGCCTGCGCCTTTCGAGCGAACCCCGCCGCCACCATAGCCTAGCAGAGAGCCAAGCAGAGCCCAGTACCGGCGCCAGACATAAATACAAATCACTCTGGCGTCTTCTTCGTGCCTCTGTCGACTCAAAGGGCCACGGGAGTTACAGACCATCTCAGTAGCCCTACGCTTTACCCGGTGGCCAGATCGATACCTTAGGCTTGCCGCCGCTCCGCCCCGACATATCTATCTCTCTCAGCTACGTACGTCTGTCTACATCTACATCTACAAACCAAACCCTGGGTAGGGTACGGTACATCGCGCAGATTTGCGCTTCGTTGCATTGCGTGGTTGCTGCGTGGGAACGCCGATGATCCCGAAAAAGCAACGACCTGGGAGCCCTTGTCACCGCAGCCAGGCCAGACCAGCAGCAAGGAAGACGACCGACTAACAAATCAACCTCTGCTCTGCTCTGCTCTGCTCTGCTCTGCTCTGCTCTGCTCTGATCAGTTCTGTTTCCAGCCAGTACCTTGGCCCAGCCTACCGAAGGGACAGGCGGAATCCGCTCCTTGATCGAATTTCAACGAGTCGCATACGGAAATCGATCAAAGCCACCCTTTCGTAGTTCGCATTCCTCGCCTCCTCCTAGCGGACTGGATTCAACTTGATCCGAACGGCGGCCTGCTTCTGCCTCTGCTTCTGCTCCAGCTGCTGCTGAAACCCCGCGTTTCTTTCCAACTGCCTGCCCGCTGCCCGTCCTTTTGCGGCTTCTTATCGTCCATACCCGACTCGACTCGACTCGACTCGACTCGACTGCCGGGCTGGCTGTCTGTCATCCTGTTCGCCCACCCTCCCGCTGCTGCTCTCCGCTTCCGCCATATTTGTCTTAGAAGAGCGGCGGTAGCGCCTGTTCTCGTCATCTCGATTCGCGACAGCATTAGCCACCACGCACACCTTGCCTTACGCACCTGCACCTGCACCTGAAAACCACCACACGGCCACAGCAAAAGCTCAGAAGCGAAAAAGGGTTATCTCGCCCCCGTCTCTTCGGTTTGCTGTCGGGTCTCCCTCTGTCTCTGGCTGCTGCTCCGCTTCCGCCGTCATCCGTTCTCTACCTCGTCTTCATCGCCTCAGCTTTCCCTATCTACCTACTCCCACGACACACCCATCTCACACACACACACACTCTCTCTCTCTCTCCGCCATTCCTCCAACCCCTCTTCCCCAACCGAAAAAGTCCATCATTAGGCGGGCAGCTCAAAAAAAGGGGAGCTTCGCTGCAACCATCCCCAGACCTAGATCAAGACGCACGACATCGTCTTCGTCTGGAGTGTGTCAAACAAATCTAAAACAGGGCGCACCAGTCTTCCCTACATGACCCCGACTCTTAGCCTGCCCACGCCCTGCTCATCCCCCTCACCGCGCCGCATTGTATCCTCAGACAGCTCGGACGCCAGAATTGGGTTTCAAGTGCGGGAACAATTTCTTTCCAAATAACCATAATCGCGGTCCGGCAAACAGCGAGCGCATGATACAGGCCTCTGAATCTGGACGGCTCAATCCTCTCCCATTACACATCTCCCCCTTGCTGTGACGGCTCGCAGTCGCCGTCGTCCAACAGCCACGCATTGCCAGACGAATCGGGAGTCTGTCCGCCGCGCATCCAATCTTCCAAGGTAAGCCCTTCAGTCCATCCATCCGGTTCCTTTTCTGTCATCACTGCGAGCTGCGCCTCGAGCCGGGCGCACCTATTTGAAAAAGAGCCCACTCCCGCCATAAAATCGGGCCTAGTACCGCGCAAGACACCCTCATGACGACATGAGTCGCAGCTGTTCTTCTTAAACGTGGTCGCTTGACGGCGACGCTTCTTGAACGACAAAATGACTGACTTGGGCAACATAGCTGCTTATCGCTCCCCGCCGAACCCTTCGTCGTCTCCAGCACGCAAGCAGTCGTCTGGCTCGCTATACGAGAGGGCAGCGATGGCTTCCTCCTTGTCGCCTGACCAGTACGGGAAGGCGCCGCAACAACTGCCGTACAGCGGTGGCTCCGGTAACGGTGGTGGTGGTTCCGATCAGGAGAAGGGGCCCCTGAGCTCTTTGAACCTCGGTTTTCTCAAATCCTTGACGGAAAAGAGGACGACACGTGGTAGGATACCTCAAGATCAGGTGCCAGCGGTCCAGAATCTAACAATCGGGCCTTGTAGATGGCAATCCGCCCAAGAGGAGAGGGCCGAAGCCCGATAGCAAGCCGGCTCTGACCAGGAGACAAGAACTGAACCGCCAAGCGCAACGGTAAGCTACGATTGCCTCGATAAGCAATCATCACGGGACCGCATCAGTTACTGACAGTGCGATGACAGCACGCATCGTGAGAGAAAAGAGCTCTATATCAAGGCTCTGGAAGACGAAGTGCTGAGACTAAAAGAGATCTTCAGCAATATTTCGCAAGACAAGGACAAAGTGGCCGAGGAGAACAGACAACTAAAGCAAATCCTGGCCCAAAACGGCATCCCTCTCTCGCACTACGGCGACGACATGATTAGCAACCCCAGCGCAGGGTACACGTCCAGCGCCAGTGTGTCTGGCCACAGCTACGGCCAAAACGCGTACACGCCGCCGATGACATCCACGACAGCGCCATCGGTGTCGCCCTCGTCTCACGGTCCGTCTCACTCCCACTCCCACGGTCCGCCCCCTCCCCTTCCTCAGATGATGGGCGGTCAGCAGCTGCAAACCATGCAGGAGCAGAATTCTGGCAGAAATGTGGACTTTGAGCAAGCGGGCATTGACTTCGTCTTAACGTACGATAACCACCACCCCTCGAAGGCATACCTATCACCTCCCCCGCAGTAAAAAGAAGCCGTTGTTCATGCCACCAATTCTGGTCACCGCCGGGAGTCGCGTGGTGTGAGCGATGATTATCGAAGACAAAAAAACACAGTTACGGAAGGGCTTGCTAACGAGTGCGATTTTATCGAGGGTATGTACAGTCTCGAGAAACCCTGCATGAATCACATGCCCTGGCTACTAGAGAGATCAAGCGAGATGGGCGGCGAACCCTGCGGCCACGCACTCATGGCCTCGTGCCCCCCGGCGCCTTTTCCCGAACTGACACCCGACATCCCGTTTGGATACAGTAACGTCAACGGGGACTTGGATTCTCAGCAGAGAACGTGGGAAGTGAGCAAGGGCAGTCTTTCAGCCTTGTTGGACCTTAGCAAGAAGCTCAACCTCGATGGAGAGGTCACGCCCGTCATGGCCTGGGGTATGGTTCTCGGCCACCCCAGGTGCCATGAGCTCCGCGCCGAGGACTTCAACAAGCTCACTGACGAGCTCAAGGACAAGGTCCGATGCTACGGGTATGTGCTGGTCCCGATATCTCTCGTTCTTCTTGCATGTGAGCATGTTACTAACCTCTGCAAAGCTTCGGCGCCGTGATGGAGGAGTTCGAGGTCAGGGATGCCCTGGAGAACGTCTTCTGCTCCCGACCTGAAATGATGGTCTACTAAGATCTCATTATCAAGACATTTGAGCTGTGCCTATGCTGGCCATGCGAGGGTGTGATGTATATAAGGGATTTAGATAATCCCAGCCTGTACTACTTATTTGATGAGATGCTCAAGCGGGAAACACGAGCGTATTCTGGGAACAACACTATTGATACCATGAATCGGTAATGAGGGTAAAGAAAATAGAAAATTCAAATCACGTAGTGCTCGAGGATCCAGAGATCGTTTCTTTGTGACTGAACACCTACTGGGAAAGATCACTACGCAGGCATCGACTTATTTATTCCCTGCCCGCAGACCGTGGACACACGGAGGTGGCAGACCGCTCAGGTGGTATGTAGTGGCCCCGCGTCGCGTGGAAACGAGTGGGTGCCAGTGGCCGCCAGGTGTCGGAAGCGCAGTGCAGTGCAGTGCACGAAATTTTGCCCGCTCTGCCCCACAAAGTTCACCCCACCAAAAACCGAACGTCGAAAATCGACGGCGAGAGGAGGCGCACACGGCACAGCCCAAACCCTTGAACGACTTTTCCCTCTCCAGAGCCGAATCGCTGCCCGCCGCTGCCACCCGCAACAGCGCCCTTCAATACCGACTCCCCCCGAACGCTTGTGCAGCCCATCCCAGGACGCACTCACACACACGTTCTTCATCATGGCTCAGGAAATCGACTGGGTCAAGCTCGTCGAGACTTGCCCGGCCGGCGACGGTTGGGGCCCGCCAGTCACCAGCGACACCACTCTGAATGGCGTCCCCTATGCGCCCTTCTCCAAGGGCGACAAGCTCGGTCGCATGGCCGACTGGACCTCCGAGGGCAAGGACAGAGATGGCCGTGGAGGAAGACAGCAGTACAACCGTAACTACCGTGGTAGGTGCACTCTCCGAGAACGAATGTCAAAAATATCGTCGCTAACATTCACCTGCAGACCAGCAAGTCTACGGTGCTGGCCACGCCATCTCCTTCAACGCCCCTCCCGCCGAGGACGAGTCCACATTCTCCGTTGTCAGCAACACCCGCGACAGCACCAAGACAAGATACGGCCGCGGCGCCGTCTTCACCCGCGGCGGCCGTGGTCAGCGCGGAGGAGCTGCCACCACCACCCGTGGTGGCCGCCAGGCCATCAACCGCACCCAGCAGGGCGGTCGTCAGGGCTACGGCGGCGGCGGCTTCGACCGTGGCGGCAGATCCGGCGGTGGCCAGCGCGGTCGCCGTTTCGGCTGGAAGGACTACGACAAGCCTGCCCGCAACCGTGACGCCAGTATCAACATCAAGGCCGACTGGAAGCTGCTGGAGGAGATCGACTTCAACCGTCTCGCCAAGCTCAACCTGGATGCCGACGAGGGCGAGGAGATCGACGCCTACGGCTTCGTCTACGGTTACGACCGCTCCTACGACAAGCCCCCTGTTAAGGGCACTGAGCGCAGGCTCAACGCTATTGACCGTGCCGCTTACAACGTTACCACTTCTTCCGATCCTGTGATCCAGGACCTTGCCGACAAGGGCGAGGCCACCATCTTCGCTACCGACAGCATTCTGTCCATGCTCATGTGCTCTCCCCGCTCCGTCTACCCCTGGGACATCGTCATCTCCGTCCAGGGCAACAAGGTCTTCATTGACAAGCGCGACAACGCCGCTCTCGACATGGTTACCGTCAACGAGAACGCCGCCGACGCTCCTCTTGATGCCGCCGACGGCAGCAAGGATGCCCTCAACCAGCCCGGCGCCCTGGCCGAGGAGGCTACCTACATCAACCACAACTTCGCCAACCAGGTTGTCATCGAGAACGAGACGCAGAAGCTGCAGTTCCCCCACGCCAACCCCTTCTACAACTCTTCCGAGGACACCGACCCCCCCGCCAGCAAGGCCTACAAGTACCGCAAGTTCGACCTGTCCACTAACGACGAGGAGGAGAACGTCTACCTTGTCGTCCGCACTGAGGTCGACGCCGTTCAGAAGAACGCCATCAGCGGCGACGACCAGCTCGTCACCCTGCACGCGCTCAACGAGTTCGACAGCAAGGCTCAGGGCAGCGGTGGTGCTCTTGACTGGAGGACCAAGCTTGTCAGCCAGCGTGGTGCCGTCGTGGCGACTGAGATGAAGAACAACTCCTGCAAGCTCGCCAGGTGGACTGTCCAGTCCATCCTTGCCCGTGCCGATGTCATGAAGCTTGGGTATGTCTTTTCATTACCGATTTGCCCCCTTTTGTCGAAGATGTAAAACTAACAACACCAAAGTTTCGTGTCTCGCGCCAACCCCAAGTCCAACGACAAGCATGTCATCCTCGGCGTCGTCGGCTGGAAGCCCCGCGACTTCGCCAACCAGATGAACCTGTCTCTCTCCAACGGTTGGGGTATTGTCCGCACCATTGCCGACATGTGTCTTAAGCGCGAGCAGGACGGTAAGTACGTGCTCGTCAAGGACCCCAACAAGTCCATCCTTCGTCTGTACGAGGTGCCCGCCGGCAGCCTCGACGAGGACGACGAGCAGGAGGAGGCCCCTCAGGAGGAGGGCGAGGGTGACGACGAGTAAATCTGTCAAACAGAATACACAAAATTACGAGAGTGTGTGCGAGCTACGGGAATCTGAATGCTCCCATCTAACCTAACGAAATGGCGGTTGTGAAACGGGAGAAGACAACGTTGAGGCAGTCAGTAAGAGTGACCTGGGAAGGGGAAACGTTTTTTTAATCCCCCTGATCGAGACGAATCGCCTGGATAAAGGGCTTGGCTTGCAGGTTGGCCGCCGGGTGAGCGGCCATTATGTAAAAAGGTCTTTTCGGCGGGTAGGCACGTATAGACGTCTATGGAGTAACGCATTATGGACATGGTTCGTTCCGCAATCAGAAATGGACTTTTGGTGAACTTTGTAGCCTCTGGTAATGTCGGTGCCAGAGAAACCTAGTATGTGTACCAGACTTCTTTGGAATGTAAGTCGACGTCATGAGGACCATTGAGTGAAATAACTCACGCTTTTCAGTTGATTTCGTGTCGGTCATTATCCATGAGATTTCACCCGTAGCATGACAATGTTGGTTCAAATGCTTCATCATATTTTCCCCCTGCCCATGTAATGATTTGGAATCTCTAAAATGCCCACAACGCCGGAGTCCATGACAGGATGTCGTTTCATGCCATCATTAAACCACCCAAGATTGTCCTTTTAAAACTTTTCCTTCACTTTTCTTTTGTCCAATTCCAGCTTTTTTGTTTGCTGGTATTCCCTCTCTTAAAATCTCTCCTTCATGCGCGCGGCGACTGTTCTCAGGTTGCCGTAGACCTTGGAAGGAGGCTTTCCGAGAATCAAGCTCACGATGGACTCACGGGCCATGTGGATGTTCTTGTAGGCGCCGAGGATGTGGATCTTGCTGTCGGCCAGGACGATACGGGTCTTGCTGGCGTTCTCGATGGCGACTGCGTCTGCTGTTAGTGATAATTTCTTGGAGGACGGGTTTGCGATATGATAGCGACATACACTTCGTCTTGCCGTCCTTGCCTGCTATGCGACCGATGGCACGGCCCTGCGCCTCGTTGCCCATGACCTGCTTGACATCTCGGATCTCGAAAGTCTCGACTACAGTATTGTCAGCAACTGTTCTACATTGTCTCCTTTCCGCAAGAGTATTGCTTACTGTAAAGATCGTCCAGACGCAACAGCGCAATAGCATCATCAACGTCGAAGCCCAGGGTAAAGGCCTTGACAAAGTCCTCGCCCTTCTGCAGGGCGCCGTCCTCGGTGGAGTGCTTGGATGTGCGGAGCTCGACCTGTTTCCTCCGCGGGTTCATGCGGACCTGAAGCTTGAGGTGCTCGACGAGAGGGGGGTAGACTGTGGGCGCGCACTCGTCAGACAAAGGTGATCCTCAAAGACATTGTGCGAAAAACGTACTCTTGGGCCAGGCGGACTTGAGGGGGGTGAAGCGGTGAGGAGGCACCGGGACCTTACGGGTCTCTATTCTGGTGACGGGGTCCTGGAGCAACGTTTAGTCCCTGATATCAACAAGTCTTCTACGAGTATGTGGGTAGGCGCACAATGTCTCTAGCGGGCGCAAAGCGCGGGCGGTTCTCCTCGTCGACGACCATCTCGCTCTCCTCTCCGTTCTGGGGCACGCTGGGCATGATCGCATCCAGGTCTTCGGGCAGCGCAGTCGGCGCATCGAGCAGAAGCTCCTCGTCCTGCTGCTCCTCCTGGAAAGCAGCCTCGGGCGGCGGGGCGGCGATTTCCACCTGTTTGGCGGTAGGAGCGGGCATGATGGGCGGTTCGGAAGGGGAAGTTGGTGGTCGAAGATTCCTCAGGTCTTGGGATCGATCGCTGGAAATTCACAAGGACTCGAAAATGGGTATCGTTTTTTTCGGTCAGGGACTCCGGTTTGTGTGTCGGGGCGAGTCGGTCTGGCGGCGGCGGCGGGGGCAGGCGATTGTGAAGAAAAAAAGCGGCGGGTATCAATTGTAGACCGATTCGATTAAACTGCAGTGCCAAATTTTTGTGTTTTTTCTTATCGATAAGCGGATAAGCAGAGACAGAGGCTCTTGGGTGAGGGGGTCAAGGCACGGACTTGAGAAACGAAAGAGGGGACCAGAGCAGAGTGGAGACCGGTATCCGTACCTCAGTGAACTGTGTGTCACCACCATCCTTGCTCAGCATGGCATCTTTTTGCAGCAATATCCATCCTGCTCTCCTGAGTCACAGCGCACGTTAATTGAGAGAGGCTGGCTAGAGTATTTCGGACTACCTACAGAAGAGTTCTTAACAGGCTTCGGGGCTTCAAGGAATAACGTTGAGGGTTTAGAAAGAACAGCCACACAAGCCTCACCATGCACTCTACCTAACCATTGCTTACATGAGTGGAAGCAGGGGGCCCAGGTTACGGAAGCACAGACCATGCTGCCTTTTTGACTAAATTTTTCTCTTTGCCCTGGCTCCAGCCTCCAGCAGCAGCAGGAGGGGTGCTGGTGTGAGGTGACGCCCCCCCATACGTCAGGTATCTTTGGAATGGGTCCAGCTGGGTTC